GAGGTCTTACCGTGAGGTCTGTGAGGTCTTTGCGATTGCCGCTGGTGGTGAAGGCGAAACTGGGATCATTTTGGATTTTCGCTTGCTGTCAGACAAACCTAAAGAACACAGAGAAAGGGGGAAAGGGATTCCATAATCTTCTTTGAATTTACCTCCCACAGACATCCACTTGTCTTGCAGATCTGAAGGTAGTTTCTCTACTATGGGATTAGTGCCTCTGGCCCTATCCAGATATGAAAGCCCTGGCAAGTAGCCATCCTCTTTGGCATATTCTATCTCCAGCAGAAGATCACTCAGCTCTTGTAGCCGCACGTTGTCTCTGTAGCCCACCTTAGGAAAGACTTCAAGTTTTTTCAACAGTGCTCCTTCAATCACCTCTGGGGATCCATACATTTCTTCTAGTCTTTTCCAGGTCATGTTGAGTCCTGCTGCAGGGTTGAACAGGTTTGCTCTTCTCATCCTCTTTGCATGCTCTGCTGACTCGGTACCAAGCCATTTTATCATTAAATCAAGCATTTCTGCTGGTGATAAGTTAAGAGCTCTAGTGGCATTCAGAAATGAAGCTTTCCATGCCCAATAGTTTTCAGGACAGTCATCAAATTGGAGAAATCCTGAGCTGACCATTTCTTTGCGGATGAGATATTTGGTGAAATCCACTGCACACTGTTGTTCGCACATGTAATCTTTAGGTTGTGGTTCCTAGGGGATTCTGGTGCTTCATTTTTGGTTTGCTGGCGACCACTGACCTCTTGTGGTTGATTGGGCCTGCCCAGGGGGTCTGTAGATCTTGGCCTGAATTCCTTTGTTTCAGGTTTAAGAGACTGTTCCTTTGTATGTACATCAGTAAGGTTCCGGACGTACTCACTTGTACAATCTGCAGAGGATAGAGGTTTCTCCAGGAACCTTTGGGTCTTCGTATGATTTTTCCCTTTCTGACCGGCTTGTTCCCATGTAGGCAGCGGCCTCTGCTTCATCAACTGCAACTGCAGTCTGTCGCTGCAGGATAAGCAATTTTGATTCTAATTCTGCCTCTTCTTGTGCTTTCTTAGCTGCTATCTCCTGCATCATCATGGCTTTCTTAGCTGCTATCTCCTGCATCATCATGGCTTTCTTAGCTGCTATCTCCTGCATCATCATGGCTTCTTTTTCTGTGTACTGTAGCTGGACATGGGCAGCTTCTGCCTTGGCATGAGCTCTAACTGCTGAGGAACTTGCTGAGGACATCTTGCTAGATCGTGAAGATCTGGACACATGTGACTGTGCATTGTCTTGCTGGGGATGTTGTCCCTACCTTGCTGTGTCGGGGTTAGTGTGTCATCAGCCTGGTACTTTGTTCCTGATCTTAGACTCATGCTGCAGTAATGGCGTCTCCGTTTATTCCAGACTGCCACGTGGGTGTCCTTTTACTGTTCTGCTTCGTGTTATTGAACTGTTGTATCACACTAGTCAGACAGTCTAACAATAATTCAGAAGTCAAGAAACGTGAGACATCAGATCTGTATGTATTCTTTGTTCTGAATAACTTTGTAAAACTACAACATAAGCACAAACAAAACATATGTGTCAGTACATTAAACATTATACAACAGCTCCATCCCATCAGTGAGAGTACTCACGGACAATTCCACCATAAGTCCAGGAATAGCTTGGAGCTTCACTGTATGCTGCTTGTTAGATCCAGAAGCAGTCATGAAATGGAGGACAGGAACTTCCAGGTTAGAGGTTATTGCCTCTATTTGAAAATGACCACTTCCTGTCAAGTCCTGATATAACTAGGCATAATAACTAACTCTGACCACTAGATGGCAGCAACATCACATAACATTGCAGTATATTACATATATTATTTTCAACAATATGGGCAGAACAATGTGATAAAGAGCACCTTTTGCATGCAAGTTTTCTCCGCTGGATGGGGCCTCATTTGTAGAAGATAAAAAGGGGGTGTCCCGAATAGTGACATTTTTTTATGCCTGGAAAATGTTTGTTTTGTTTCATTTTGCATGCATTCCCCACATGGAAGAAAAATATATTTTAAACATATTTTTTAAATATTCTTCCCTAATATATTGACATATATTTGAAATACGACATTTGTGGCCATATTATATATATATATATATATACACTGTATGTTGAAATGCATTTTTATATATTACAAAATATATTAAAAAGATTTTTAAAAATACATTTTCAAATATACTGTATGTCTTTAAAAATACATTTAATCTACATTTTTGAAATGCATTTACAAATATATGTAAAAATATATGTTAAAATGACTTTTTTTTATATGTTAAAAAAGATCTGAAGAATATATTTATATATTGAATTATATTGAATACGGCTATAATTGTAGTATTTCAAATATATGTCAATATATTTGGGAAGAATATTTTAAAAATATATTTAAAACATATTTTTCTTCAATGTGGGTCATTTATTGAAGAACTTTGTTTTGTCATATTCGTTATACTGAACCTATTCGTTTTCAGAATTCATTTTGTTTATTCATGATTAGCGGGACCTGTGGTTTGTTGATGTTGCCTACGTCAATGCGTTTTGCCCGCGTGACTGTGAGCTTCGTCAGGACATTGGGACGTACACACCACCAGCCTCTTAAAGGGACTGATGGCCCTTTCAGCCAGTTGTAGTGGCCAGGGGGAGGGGGGGGTGGTCCCATATTTAAAGGAACAACAATCACAAAGTATACAGATAAATATTAAAAAAAAAAAGAGGCAAAGTAAGTGACATATGAATTCTACATATCTTGCATAAATATCTGCACACATAGACTGGCTAAAAAGCTTAAGTACACCATCCATTCAGTGTCACATTTGGATTCAAAGCTGGAGAAAAAGTTTGTGGTACTAACTAAGTTATTTATCAGGTGGATAAATGTGTTTAATATAGGAGCACTTCAAAATCCACCTTGTTAGGTGGGAGCGGAAGAGGAGAGAAATACAGATTTTAAATAACCTCTTAGTGGGGAGTTTTCCCAGCCAAAATGAGCGATCGGGGGAGAAGGGCCTTAGCCAGGGAGGTAACCAAGCACCCGATGGTCACTTTGAAGGAGCTCCAGCATTTCTCTGTAGAGAGGGGAGAACCTTCCAGAAGAACAATCATCTCTGCAGCACTCCACCAATCAGGCCTGTATGGTAGAGTGGCCAGATGAAAGCCACTCCTCAGTAAAGGGCAAATGGCAGCCCACCTGGAGTTTGCCAAAAGGCACCTGAGGGACTCTCAGACGATGAGAAACAAAACTCTCTGGTTTGATGAAACAAAGATTGAACTTTTTGGCCTGAATGCCAAGCATCAAGTCTGGAGGAAACCAAGCACCGCTCACCCCCTGGCCAATAACCATCCCTACAGTGAAGCATGGTGGTGGCAGCGTCATGCTGTGGGGATGTTTTTCAGTGGCAGGAACTGGTCAGGATGGAAGGAAAGATGAATGAAGCAATGTACAGAGACATCCATGATGAAAATCTGTTCCAGAGCGCTCTGGACCTTAGACTGGGGTGACCGTTCATCTTTTAACAGGACAACGACTCAAAGCACACAGCCCACATAACAAAGGAGTGGCTGCGGGCCAACTCTGTGAATGTCCTGGAGTGGCCCAGCCAGAGCCCAGACTTGAACCCGATTGAACATCTCTGGAGAGATCTGAAAATGGCTGTGCACCGACACCCCCATCCAACCTGATGGAGCTTGAGAGGTCCTGCAAAGAAGAACGGGAGAAATTGCCCAAAAATAGGTGTGCCATGCTTGTAGCATCATCCTCCAAATGACTTGAGGCTGGAATTGGTGCTAAAGGGGCTTCAACAAAGGATTGAGCAAAGGCTGGGAAGACTTATGTACATGTGGAGGGGGCTGGGAATACTTATCTACATGGGGTTTTTCGCTTTTTATTTTTAATAAATTGCAAAGATTTAAAAACAAACTTCTTTCACGTTGTCATTATGGGGTATTGTTTGTAGAATGTGGAGGTAAAAAATGAATTTAATCTATTTTGGAATAAGGCCGTAACACAACAAAATGTAACAAAAGGTAAGCGCTGGGAATACTTTCTGGATGCTCTGTATATACTGTGCATTCATAAAGTATTCATGTTGTTTGTTGCACACCGATACTACAGTTGTTTAAATTAATTTTTTTTCTCATTAATCTACGCTTAGTACCCCATAATGACAAAGTAAAATCATAATATTAGAAATGTTTGTGAATTTACTAAAAAGAAAAAACTGAAACAGCACATGTATTTAAGTATTCAGCACCCCTTTACTCAATACTTTGGTGAAGCACCTTTGGCAGCAATTCCAGCCTTGAGTTTTTTTGGGCATGATGCCACAAGCTTTGCACACCTGAATTGGAGGATTTTCTGCCATTCTTCTTTGCTCAGTCAGGTTGGATGGGGGCCCTCGGTGGACAGCTATTTTTAGGTCTCTCCAAAGATGTTCCATTGGGTTCAAGTCAGGGCTTTGGTTGGACTACTCTAGGACATTCATAGAGTTGTCCCTAAGCCATTCCTGTGTTGTCTTGGCTGTGCGTTTAGTATGGTTGTCAAGTTGAAATACGAACCTTCGGCCCAGTCTGAGGTCCTGAGCACTGTGGAACAGGTTTTCATTGAGGTTATCTCTGTACTTTGCACCATTTGGCTTTCTCTCAGCCCTGACCAGTCTCCTAGTCCCATCCCCACAGCACGATGCTGCTACCACCATGCTTCACTGTTGGAATGGTATTGGGCAGGTGATGATCGATGCCTTGTTTCCCTCCAGACATAACATTTAGAATTGTGGCCAAACAGTTCAATCTTGGTTTCATCAGACCAGAGAATATTGTTCCTCATGGTCCATGGTCTGAAGGTCCTTCAGGTGTTTTTTTTTGCAATCTCCAAGTGGGTTTTCATGTGTTTTGCACTGAGGAGAGGTTTCTGTGTATAAATTAAAAAAAGTGTGATATTTAAACATTCCACATGCTCTACAATGTACAAATCCCACCCCTCACATCTCAGGATCTCCCCCCACTTATCTTTATACAACCTCTTGCTGCACATAACCCGGCATGGAGGGGCTCAGTGAAGGTGGTGGTGAAGGTGTGCAGGTTTTGGATCGGGTCACACAGATCATAAAAGATCTGCCCGGCCTCATAATCCAGATATATCCCAACTCTATTACTGGAGATATTTGTAGATAAGGGGGTCTCTGTACTGTCATGTCTCACAAAATACCGATTTCCAGACCTGGACAAACACCAGGACTTGTTATTCTTACCTATTCCTGCTTGAAAATCTTTCCTCTCCATACTGCGGTAACACATCCCAACTCGCCAGAATTGTGATCCCTCAACATCCACTTCCCAAAAATGTCGCCCAGAGGAAAAAATCAGACTGCTTAACACCTGAGGATAATCTGTAAATCTCTCTGGTGTTTGTGGGCGCTTCTGGTTCCTATCTGACCAGGCTAAAATTTTTCTGTCATCTGATACATGAAGCTTGTTACCAGCTGTGCTTATATCCAGTAATATGTCTTCAGCTCCCTGTATATAGAAGGATACATTTCCCCCTGTTATTATATCAGATAAACCTGTGTGTAAGACCCCCGCCACATCCAGCCCCCCTCCATCATGGAGGAGGTCCTCATGTCTCTCTCTGTCCTCATTATCTCCATCCTCAGTATCACACAAGTCACCTGTGTCTGATTCCTGTAGGACAGTCAGTGGATCTGTCATGTTACACAGCTCCTCAATGTCCCTCATCTTCCTGGACAGCTCCTCCTTCTTTATTTCCAACCCCTGAATCATAACCAACATGGAGATGGAGATCAACTCTGCCTGCCTGGAGATGTCCCTCAGAACTCTCTTCTCCAGGTCCTTCAGATGTCTCCTGAGATCTCTAAACAGGGCAGTGACTCTCTCAGTGTCACCAGCTGCATTTTCTTCTGCTTTCCTCTTGTCTTCCTGCAAACTCTTGGTTCTTTCCTCCGTCTCCTCTCTCTTTATCAGAAGTTTCTGCAGAACATCCCTCAGTTTCTCCTTCTTTTTCTCAGAAGCCTCTTTCAGCATCTCCACCTGGTGTCCTCGATGTTCTCCAGCCAAACTGCAGGACACACAGATACAGGTGTCATCCTCAGTGCAGTAATACTCCAGGATCTTCTTATGGATGGAGCATTTCCTGCTCTCCATGGACAAGGTGGGCTCACATAAGATGTGTTCTGGGGACTTTTTGTGGACTCTCAGGTGTTTTTTTATCACACAGAGAAACCTCACAGAGCAGACAGGATCTAACAGCAGGTACAGAAGAGTCCACACAGTAAGTACAGAAGACCCCAGACTCCTGCTGATCTGGCTGAGCAGACAGTAAATTATCTACTATGTTACGCAGTGTTATGTTCCTCTGCAGTGCAGGACGACTCCTGAACCGTTTTCTGCATAAAGGACAGAAATAATCTCCAGACCCCTCTTGTTTGTCCAGCACATGATCAATACAGGCCTTGCAGAAGTTGTGTCCACAATTCAGGTTTACAGGATCAGTATAAATGTTCAAACAGATAGAACATTCCAGCTCAGCTCTCAGATCTGCAGTTGCCATCGCTGACAGCAGAGTAAAAGTCTTTGATATTCTCCGAGGTTACTTCTTGAGTTGTTTCATGGGCCTTTGGACATTGCTATAAATTACAAAAACATTAAGGCATGGTTGGCTGTACTTACAGGACATAAATAACATAAACATGACATTTGTTGGCTGATCACACTTTGGTGCCTCATGTTGTACTCACTGAGTCATCACTAGCGTGTAAGCTTCTGGTTCAGTCCAAAGACAGGTTCAGACCAAACTTTGCTTGTTGGGGAGTTCATTTGCAAACTGGACCTTTAGCCTATTCAGCAGAAGCCAGTTTTTTCTCCCTCTATTATACTTGACGGTTTCCTGCCCCCATGATTTATACCAAGCTCTTCAAGTCTGGTATGAGTTTTAATGAGCTGTCCACCATACTGCCCCGAACTACATCACTGACCTAATATCCAAGTACCGCCCAGCACGCACACTCCGCTCCTCACAAGACCTCCTTCTCTCTAGTTCCCTGGTCTCCTCCTCCCATGCCCGCCTCCAGGACTTCTCCAGGGTGTCACCCATCCTCTGGAACTCCCTGCCCCAACCCATCAGATTATCACCTACTCTCCTCTCCTTTAGGCGCACCCTGAAAACCCACCTCTTCAGGGAAGCCTACCCCACCCCCTGCTAACTTGCCGACCTCCTCCTCTCTTCCTACCACTCCATCCCCCACAGCTATCTCCTCCTGTGCCACCATCCCCTCCCTCCTACATTGTAAGCTCGAAAGAGCAGGGCCCTCGATCCCCTCATGTTTTGCATTGTATTGGTATTGTTCTGTCACATGTTCTGTCCCCCTTTGTAATGTACAGCGCTGAGCGAACTATTGGCGCTTTATAAATACTGTATAATAATAATAATAATGAGATCCCCAAACCAAAAAAAAAGCAAAAAAAAACCCACTATGAGGGCCCCTTTGGCCTGGTATAGATCTTAAGGGAAAACCCCACCCAAAAATCAAGAAAAAAAACGTGGATACACTAAAAAATACACACCAAAATATAACCAAGCTTTCAGCCTGGCAGGCCAGTAAAGGGGGAATGAGCATGCTCCCCCTTCTTCTGATCACACCATGCCTTCTGCCCTCATGATGTGGATCTGCATAGCTGGATGACATGGTTGACAGTGTGTTTTTATTCACGGTTTGTTTACTTTTTGTGAATGAATAGAGAAGCACTATATTGAAGAACTAGAATTCTGAAACTGGTTTGACAACTTACATGGCTGGCTTGCAGCTTCCAGGCGTATTGAAGGGACAGGGTAGGCTGAAGAAGGGCAGTGGTGTGCCCGTATGTCAAGAGATTGAAATGTTGAATATGAGGGATGCCACTGCTAACAAGACTAATGAGGAGGTGGGGCCTTTGTGGGTGGAGCTTCAAAGGGATGAAACAAGTGATACATGAATTGTTGGTGTATGCTATGAGCCCTCTAACAATAAGGAGGAGTAAGAGACTCATCTTCTCTCACAGTCAGAGATAGCGGGGGTGGGGTGTGGCGTCAGGACAATAATCATAGGGGGCTTCAACTATCCTGATATTGATTGGGCAGATGGAACTAGGCATTCAACTAAGACATGTTGTTTCTTGAATGTGATGCAGCGCAAATTTCATTAGTCAAATGGTGGAAGCCCCAACTAGAAATAATGCTCCTGGACCTACTAGTAACAGAGCTGATTGCAGAGCTGATCGCAGAAGTGGAAGAAAGGGATAATTTAGGCAACAGCAATCACAGAGTAATCATGTATGCCATAAATTATACTTCATTGAATTTTTAGTGATCTTAGGTATATATGTTTGCCATAAAATTTGGAAAGGGAGATATGAGGATAGGACAGGACATTTCAAAGGAGCCAGTGTTACTAAGCGGTTATATGGGATCAAATTCTTACCACAAAGAACACTATAGAAAAGTAGGAGTATTTTAAGGACATTATAAAAAAAAATGACATTCAGCAGTGCATTCCAATGGGCAACAAAAAAAAGAATCCAAGTTAAAAGAAAAGTTTTGGGAAATAGATAAACAATCATACCTAGATGGCTGCAGCAGAGATCTCAGCCACAGCTGTCCCTCGTCAGCTCTACATCGAGAACTGAGAGATCAATGACCACTGATTGCTCAGTTTTCAGTATTCAGTCTGCCGTCACTGGTATTCACTGACAGTCACTGGTTCTCCGGGACAGTGGCCAGACCCCTATGCCGTTTTTTGGCAATCCTTTCCCTATGAATCTAGAAAATGGCTGGAACTGATTTTTTAACACCGGGCCCCTCTGACTACAATGGGGATCAGATTCGACAGCTGATCTTCTTTGACCCCTTTTCTGCCAGGGTACTTCTTGAAATGGCAGATCGATGGCCCTTTATTTATCCAGTGCCTTTCATACACAATAATAATTGCCGTCGGGCAGTCAGTCCTCCAAGTAATCGCAGTGTACCGAGCTGGGCTGTCTGGCTGGGTACACAAAGACATGACACTGAGCCCATCCAAGTGGCCGAGTGTAATGGGCCCCACACACCCACGACTGGCTATCTCTGTCAAGAAGCTGCTTCTCAGGCTCTGGAACACGAGACCAATGAATCGGGCTATTGCTACCCCAAGATCCAGAAGACACCAGATTTGAAGTAAACCAGAAAGTAGACTATTTTATTTGAACACAGATACAAGATATATACACTTAGGCAGGGGCGGACTGACCATTTGGAAACTTGGACACTGCCCGAGAGCCCGGTCAGTAGGACTCCCCATGAAATGCCCCTGGTACCTTTTTCATAGGCTTTTTTGAGTTTGGGCAAGGACACAGGGGCCCCATGATCCCCTATTGCCCGGGGGCCCCATGAGTTGTCAGTCCGCCCCTGCACTCAGGGGACAACCCCCCCCCTTGCATAATGACACAGGGTGGGGAAATCTACATTTAGTAACAAGAGACACACAGGTATTCAAACTTCATACCAGAAGACAGTCCCTTTAGGAGGGAGGGCTGCTGGAGACACCCCCCCCCCTTCCCACTAAGCTAATACACATAAACACATACATCCCATAATAGTTTGCTCCCAAGCAAGACAGACAATAGAACAATGGGATGCAGCCACACAACACCAAACAATCCACAACCTCCCCCCACCCCAATATAAGGATAGATCACCCTGTACCCCTAACAGGCACAGGGTGACTTACACATAAGAGGGATATGGGGAGCTGAGACAGGGGTCTCCCCACCTCTCCAAAGTGAGCTGGGTTCCATGGGCCCCCCACCCAAAGTGACTCCCGTCACACTGAGTACCATGTGATCACTGTGATTGGTCATTACATTGATCACAGGGTACTGTTTACACTGTTGATCCCTCCCCCTTCCCTTACAAAAGGGGTAAGCAAAGAGATCCAGTACTCGTGAATGCATAGATCAGCGGCTGCTAGACATGATCAGAACAAAAAAAATGGTTTCATTTTGTTTCGATTTGTTAACTTACCAATTTTGCTGAGTTTCATTCGTAACGATTCTGCGCCTCCCTATAGCAGGGCGGCACAGGTGCGCAAAATCATGTATATATATGTGATTTTGCAGTTCCAGGTAGGGGTAGCCATTCGTGGCCTCAGCTGTCAATCATTGGGTCCCGGCCAGTGATTCCCCGCCGGCACCTGACGATCTACGAGAATTTCCGACGGGGGAGAGACCTGTATGTAAACAACACAGATCTCTCCCCTGTCAGCTCCTGCACACTGCTTTGTATGGCTCGGCATAGTAGCATGCTTACAGTGAAACACACACAGCACACAGTTAACCCTTTGATCACCCCACATGTTAACCCCTTCCTGCCCAGTGCCATTAGTAGTGTCAGGGCTGTTTTTTTTAGCACTGATCACTGTATAGGTGTCACTGGGGATGTCAGTGACACCAAGTCAGTCCCCCCCCAGTGTCAGAATGCCCACCGCTGTCCCGCTATAAGCCGCTGATCATCGCCATTACTAGAAAAATAATATCCCATTATCTTTCCCGCCATTTGTAAACGCTGTAACTTTCACATAAACCAATTAATTTACACGTATTTGGACTTTTTTTTAGCAAAGACACGGAGCGGGAGACACGGAGCGGGAGACACGGAGCAGGAGACACGGAGCGGGAGACATGTTGGACTAAATTTATGACAACATTTTATTTTTTTACTGGACATGTTTAATAGCAAAGAGTCAAAAATATTGTTTTTTTCTCAAAAATTGTTGGTCTTTCTTTTTTGTTTATAGAGCAAAAAATAAAAAAACAAAGAGGTGATCAAATTCATGGGAAGAAAAGGATGTAAATTTTATTTGGGTGCAGCGTTTCATGATCGCGCAATTGTTAGTTAAATTGACGCAGCGCCGTAAAAAAATTGCCAGGTCAGGGAGGGGGGGGGGGGGGAAATCCTCCTGAAGGCGAGGGGTTAATTTTGTTTCCTTTATTTATTTTCGATCAAATTAATATTTTTCCAAAGAATTCAAAGTATTCTAATCAAATCTGAATACAAAATATCAAATTAATGAAAATTTATTGTAAAGTATAGTTGGTTCTATTCTATTCAAAATTCAAATTTCAGAAGACGGCTATATTCTATTATATTCATTTCTATTTTATTTTTTCGAATCTATTTTATTTTTTTCTATTCTATTCTTTTATCTTCTAGAATAATCTATTCTTTTTTTATTCTATTTTTTACGAAATTCAAATTTGGGAAGACAACTATATTCTATTTATTTTATTCTATTTCGAAATTAAAATTTTGGAAGATGGCTATATTCTATTTTTTTTTAATTTTTATTCTTTTATTTTCTATTCTAATCTGTTTTATTCTATTCTTTTTGAAATTTGAATTTCAGAAGACGCTTATATTCTAACACTAATATAAGCAGCCTTTGAAGGAAATCAGCAATAGTCAGCAATATGTTTACATTTCAAATTTGTTTTAAATTTTGTTCTTCGAATTTGTTTCCAATTCGATTCGAATTTCAGGCAAAATTTTGTTTCATGAATTCGGATTTGTTTAAATTAGTTACTATTGTAAATACCTTAGATTGTACGCCCCTTGAGGGTTAGGGACCTTAGATTGTACGCCCCTTGAGGGTTAGGGACCTTAGATTGTACGCCCTTGAGGGTTAGGGACCTTAGATTGTACGCCCCTTGAGGGTTAGGGACCTTAGATTGTACGCTCCTTGAGGGTTAGGGACCTTAGATTGTATGCCCCTTGAGGGTTAGGGACCTTAGATTGTACGCCCGTTGAGGGTTAGGGACCTTATATTGTACGCCCCTTGAGGGTTAGGGACCTTAGATTGTACGCCCCTTGAGGGTTAGGGACCTTAGATTGTACGCCCCTTGAGGGTTAGGGACCTTAGATTGTACGCCCCTTGAGGGTTAGGGACCTTAGATTGTACGCCCCTTGAGGGTTAGGGACCTTAGATTGTACGCCCCTTGAGGGTTAGGGACCTTAGATTGTACGCCCCTTGAGGGTTAGGGACCTTAGATTGTACGCTCCTTGAGGGTTAGGGACCTTAGATTGTATGCCCCTTGAGGGTTAGGGACCTTAGATTGTACGCCCGTTGAGGGTTAGGGACCTTATATTGTACGCCCCTTGAGGGTTAGGGACCTTAGATTGTACGCCCCTTGAGGGTTAGGGACCTTAGATTGTACGCCCCTTGAGGGTTAGGGACCTTAGATTGTACGCCCCTTGAGGGTTAGGGACCTTAGATTGTACGCCCCTTGAGGGTTAGGGACCTTATATTGTACGCCCCTTGAGGGTTAGGGACCTTAGATTGTACGCCCCTTGAGGGTTAGGGACATTAGACTGTACGCCCCTTGAGGGTTAGGGCCCTTAGATTGTACGCCCCTTGAGGGTTAGGGACCTTAGATTGTACGCCCCTTGAGGGTTAGGGACCTTAGATTGTACGCCCCTTGAGGGTTAGGGACCTTAGATTGTATGCTCCTTGAGGGTTAGGGACCTTAGATTGTACGCCCCTTGAGGGTTAGGGACCTTAGATTGTACGCCCCTTGAGGGTTAGGGACCTTAGATTGTACGCCCCTTGAGGGTTAGGGACCTTAGATTGTACGCCCCTTGAGGGTTAGGGACCTTAGATTGTACGCCCCTTGAGGGTTAGGGACCTTAGATTGTACGCCCCTTGAGGGCGAGGGACCTTAGATTGTACGCCCCTTTGAGGGCGAGGGACCTTAGATTGTACACCCCTTGAGGGTTAGGGACCTTAGATTGTACACCCCTTGAGGGTCAGGGACTGATGTGAATGTACAATATGTAAAGCGCTGCGTAAATAAAAAAGAAAATAATTCAGAAATTTAGATATCTCTGAATAACGAAAAGTTTGACCGCATTTCGATTCAGAATGAACAAACCACGCACATGACTGCCCCTAATGTCCTCACCCCAATTAGCCCACATGTCTGAACATTAACCCCTTCATCTCCATGGTGCCAATGTTATGGGACCAGTACGTTACATTGGATCAGTACAGTAACCCCTTCATCCCCACGGTGCCAATGTTATGGGACCAGTATGTTACATTGGATTAGTACAGTAACCCCTTCATCCCCACGATGCCAATGTTATGGGACCAGTACGTTACATTGGTTCAATACATTAACCCCTTCATCCCCATGATGCCAATGTTATGGGACCAGTACGTTACATTGGTTCAATACATTAACCCCTTCATCCCCACGATGCCAATGTTATGGGACCAGTACGTTACATTGGTTCAATACATTAACCCCTTCATCCCCATGATGCCAATGTTATGGGACCAGTACGTTACATTGGTTCAATACATTAACCCCTTCATCCCCATGATGCCAATGTTATGGGACCAGTACGTTACATTGGTTCAATACAATAACCCCTTCAGTGCACCATTCTCAAGCTGTTTATTTAAACCCTTCAGTAGCAACAGCTTTCTTCATTTCCAAAAAATTGTGTTAAAAATGGACATTTTGGGAGGGGGTTTCATACAATTCTGCAGTTTTTTTTCTGAAAATGTTTGATTTTTTTTTTAAGGTCAGTTATTAACACGTTCCTGCCTGGCCTATAGCAGATTGGTGGCTAGGGCGGGACACTCGCTGTTGTGACTGGGTGTCATATGACATCCTGTCAAAATGAGCCACTCACGTGGCCGCGGGGCCACGCAGTGGCTCGATCTGTCACCAACTGATGACATATCACTACACTGGCTGTCAGGGCTCCCAGGTATGACCAGAGGTGTGTGACTGACGCAGGGAAACGCAGACTTCAGATATGTGATAAACAATATAATTTATTAACCCTAACAATACAAACATAAACGCAGTGCAATACTAAACATAACACAGTGCAAACAAACCAAACCAAACCACCCACAGATAACAGTACATACAAGCAAGCGTCGTCAGGCAGGCCGAGTCAAATATCAATTGGGCAGGTAGGTACAGGGGGAGCAAGCGGAGATTGGTCGGGGTCACAGGCCAGGTTCAGCAGGTAGCTAGCAGCGTAGTACAGAGGGTCAGGCAGAGGGATGGTCAGGGTCACAAGCCAGGGATCAGAACAGGTAGCAGGCAGCGTAGTACAGAGGGTCAAGCAGAGGGATGGTCAGACAAGCCAGGGATCAGAACAGGTAGCAGAGAATCAGACAGGAACAGAGAGCAGGAACAGGATACAGGGCCCAAGAGAAACACAACACCAAGGCAGAGTCTGCAAGTCTGGCCATCCCTTAAATACCCCAGCATAATCAGTTCCAGGTGTTAGCTGGCTGCAAAGTTGAGTCTCTGATTGCTGGGAGCACCCGCTGGCCAGCCCTGGTACTGCAGATCAAAAGGCAGGTGAGTCCCACCATTGCTGGCTAGTCCATTCCTGACAGTACCCCCCCCCCCCCCCTCAAGGAGCGGCCTCAGGACGCTCCAAACAGTCCTAGCTGGGCAAAATGTTCCACCGCCCGGGTCTGGTAACTGGCGGGATATCAAAAGACTGGCACACCGGGCAGGACTCCGGGCAGCGGCACACCGGGCAGGACTCCGGGCAGCGGCACATTGGGCAGGGGCACACCGGGCAGAGGCACATTGGGCAGAGGCACACCGGGCAGGACTCCGGGCAGAGGCACACCGGGCAGGACTCCGGCAGAGGCACATCGGGCAGGACTCCGGGCAGAGGCACATCGGGCAGGACTCCGGGCAGAGGCACATCGGGCAGGACTCCGGGCAGAGGCACATCGGGCAGGACTCCGGGCAGAGGCACATCGGGCAGGACTCCGGGCAGAGGCACATCGGGCAGGACTCCGGGCAGAGGCACATCGGGCAGGACTCCGGGCAGAGGCACATCGGGCAGGACTCCGGGCAGAGGCACATCGGATTACCAGGCAAAGCAGCAAGCAGCGGGCCACCAGGCGGAGCACAGCAGCAGGCACCAGGCCCCCGGGCGGAGCGGCAGGCACCGGGCCCCTGGGCGGAGCGGCAGGCACCGGGCCCCCGGGCGGGGCGACAGGCGTGGGGCCCCCAGGCGGGGCGACAGGCGTGGGGCCCCCAGGCGGGGCGACAGGCGTCGGGCCCCCAGGCGGGGCGACAGGCGTCGGCCCCCAGGCGGGGCGACAGGCATCGGGCCCCCAGGAGGGGCGACAGGCATCGGGCCCCCAGGAGGGGCGACAGGCATTGGGCCCTCAGGCGGAGCGGCGGGCGCCGGACCCCCAGATGGAGCGACAGGTCTCGGGCCCCCAGGCGGAGCGGCGGGCGCCGGACCCCCAGATGGAGCGACAGGTCTCGGGTCCCCAGGCGGAGCGGCGGGCGCCGGACCCCCAAGTGGAGCGACAGGTCTCGGGCCCTCAGGCGGAGCGGCGGGCGCCGGACCCCCAGGTGGAGCGACAGGTCTCGGGCCCCCAGGCGGAGCGACAGGTCTCGGGCCCTCAGGCGGAGCGGCGGGCGCCGGACCCCCAGGTGGAGCGACAGGTCTCGGGCCCCCAGACGAAGCGGCGGGGGCACCGAGTCGTCTGGCAAGACTGCGGGCACCGAGTCGTCTGGCAAGACTGCGGGCACCGAGTCGTCTGGCAAGACTGCGGGCATCAAGTCAACTGGCGGAACAGCGGGCACCGAGTCGTCTGGCAAGACTGCGGGGCACCGAGTCGTCTGGCAAGACTGCGGGCACCGAGTCGTCTGGCAAGACTGCGGGCACCGAGTCGTCTGGCAAGACTGCGGGCACCGAGTCGTCTGGCAAGACTGCGGGCACCGAGTCAACTGGCGGAACAGCGTGCATCGAGTCAACTGGCGGAACTGCGGGCACCGAGTCGTCTGGCAAGACTGCGGGCACCGAGTCGTCTGGCAAGACTGCGGGCACCGAGTCGTCTGGCAAGACTGCGGGCACCGAGTCGTCTGGCAAGACTGCGGGTACCGAGTCAACTGGCGGAACAGCGGGCATCGAGTCAACTGGCGGGACTGCGGGCACCGAGTCGTCTGGCAAGACTGCGGGCACCGAGTCGTCTGGCAAGACTGCGGGCACCGAGTCGTCTGGCAAGACTGCGGGCACCGAGTCGTCTGGCAAGACTGCGGGCACCGAGTCGTCTGGCAAGACTGCGGGGGCACCGAGTCAATTGGCACGACAGCGGGCACTGGATCAGGTACCGGATCATCTGGATCAACAGTGGGCATCGAGTCAACTGGCCTAATAGGATCGTCGGGCTGGATCAGTTCATCATGCTGAGTAGCGGCATCAGGCTGAATGCAGGCTTCAGGCCGAGTAGAGGCTTCAGGCCGAAGAGAGGCATCAGGCCGAAGAGAGGCATCAGGCCGAAGAGAGGGCATCAGGCTGAGTAGAGGCATCAGGCTGAGTAGAGGCATCAGGCCGAAGAGAGGCTTCAGGCTGAGTAGAGGCATCAGGCTGAGTAGAGGCATCAGGCTGTGTCACGGAAGGCAGTCTCACCGGTTTGGATACTGGCAGGATGGTATTGGTTGGAAAGAATTTTCGCTTTTTTCTGGTTTTAACTACTACTGGAGCACTGCAAGTAAACGCAGGTCTGCAAACGAATGGAGCAGCTGGAGACAGAGAAGAACTGGAGGATGGAACAGGAGAGGGAGCAGTTTGCTACAGAGGGCTTTTTTACAGGGTTAAAGGCAGGATAGGTGCAGCGAGTGGGAACAGGGTACTGACATGCGGTAGATAGCCAAGTATACTGGGCTGTAACTGGAGGAGCTGGTGGGAATACAGGAGTAGAGTTAGAAGCAGGACTGGGTCTTTGTAAGCTGACTGAGGCTGGGTGCAACAAGTCTGTCCATGTCTGTAGTATGGGTTGAACAAAGCTGAGCTTACACAAAGCCTGTCTGGTCAATGACTGCACTGCGTTTATACAATCTCTCAGTGTCTGTGGTGAACATGTAGAATAACGCTCCAGAAAGTAACCCACATCATCCTCTAATAACCACACCAGGGACTCTACCTGGTCTGCACTAAATGGTGGCAAAAATTCATCCCTGCATTCGGGGGGTACCAGATGAAACCAACTCAGCACAAACCTCAATCAAAGGCTGCACCTCAGAGAACTCTGTGCCCTGATCTACTAGAACATGAGCGAGCCGTATACATTCTAGCAGTTCATCCCGGGTATACTCCCTCAGAGTTTGATAAGCATACTCTCTGTCATCAAACACTAGCAGATATAAATACGCAACCTCATCCAGATCCATCCTTCCCATCAACAAGCCAAGATGGCTTCCCTGTGCAGCCACTTCTGGTCAGGATTGGCCTTGGTGTAATGTCAGGGCTCCCAGGTGTGACCAGAAGTGTGTGACTGACGCAGGGAAACGCAGACTTCAGATATGTGATAAACAATATAATTTAATAACACTAACAATACAAACATAAACGCAGTGCAATACTAAACATAATACAGTGCAAACAAACCAAACCAACCACCCACCCACAGATAACAGTACATACAAGCAAGCGTCGTCAGGCAGGCCGGGTCAATATCAATAGGGCAGGTAGCTACAGGGGGAGCAAGCGGAGATTGGTCGGGGTCACAGGCCAGGTTCAGCAGGTAGCTAGCAGCGTAGTACAGAGGGTCAGGCAGAGGGATGGTCAGGGTCACAAGCCAGGGATCAGAACAGGTAGCAGGCAGCGTAGTACAGAGGGTCAAGCAGAGGGATGGTCAGACAAGCCAGGGATCAGAACAGGTAGCAGAGAATCAGACAGGAACAGAGAGCAGGAACAGGATACAGGGCCCAAGAGAAACACAACACCAAGGCAGAGTCTGCAAGTCTGGCCATCCCTTAAATACCCCAGCATAATCAGTTCCAGGTGTTAGCTGGCTGCAAAGTTGAGTCTCTGATTGCTGGGAGCACCCGCTGGCCAGCCCTGGTACTGCAGATCACAAGGCAGCTGAGTCCCACCATTATTGGTGAATTCATTCCTGAGAGAGGGTGTGTGTTGCACTTGTCTGCTGAGCTCCAGAAAGGCCCGAGAAGCCTGGGGCTAAAGTGCCCTGCCCAGCCCAGGCAGGATGGCGGATCCTGGGCCTGGGTCCAGCGGGGAGAAAGGCCCTGGAGGGGCCTAGTACCGGCCTCTCTTTTCCACCAGTAGAGGACCTGGGAATGGCCCCTAGGAAGGGGGGGAGTTTATTCTGCCTACCGGGACCGTGTGGCCGCTCGGGCCAGGTTAATAGAGAAGGAGGAAAGCCAAGCTCCAGAAGCTGACTCTGGAGCTAAAGAAGCTCCGGTCATCCTACGACCGTGTATGGTCTACTAAGCGGCAGGCCAGGCCATGAAACCGGACCTGGAGGCGCTGGAACTTCGTGTGTCACAGCAGGGGAGGTATGTGGCGGCGCTGCAGCGCCAGAGTGGCGTCCTAAGCGAGAAGTATCTGAATGAAGCGAGATTTAAGGCTGCAAGAAGCCGCAGTGTTGCGGCGATGCGGGGTCCGGTGGAGGAGGCCTCTTCGGTGGAGGAATTGTCGGGGGGGGAGTTGCTGGTGGAAGGCGAGCAGGGGCAGGTTGAGCCCACAGCACCCTCAGAGGAAATGGCGTCTATCATGGAAGACAGCGTGGTGGCAGGATCATCAGAGTCCCTCCCCCCTGGGCAGCTGCCTGTGGATTGGGGGACCCAGGTGGAGGAGGAGGAGATAGTGGGCGGATTGCAGTTCCTGGCAGAGGCGGTTGCAGAGCTGCGTGGAGCCGACTTCAGGTTTACGTCCGAGGACTCAGAGGAAGAAGCTGAAAGTGATGTCATCCCCCGCAAGCCGGCTAAGCCGGTGGTGAAAGAGCATGCTGCCTTTGTCATGCTGCAACGCATCCCCAAGGACGTGTTGGCAAAGGCAGGGGAGCCACTGGAAGGGGAGAAGGACTCTGCTGATTGTGTTGGTGAGATGGTTCTGGACACTGGGGTAGCGGGTATAATGCCTGCAAAATTGTCTGAGCTGCAGGTTAGCCCTACAGTCCTGGCTAAGGGTGTTTCCCCTCCGGTGGTGGTCCCACTGGGTCCCGCCCCTTTGGGGGGCATGGTGGCCTCTGGTGTGCAACCAGCAGGTCCCGGTTTCTCCTCAGGGGGCTCCAGGTTCTCAGGTCCAGGCTCCTGCGGGTCCGGCTCAGGTGGGTTCTCCTGCTGGTATGGGTGGTCCCCAGCCCCGGGCTCCCCCAGGTCATGGCTCATCAGCATCTGCCCCTTCAGTTGCTGCTGCTGGTGTGGCGGCTTCCCCTGGTCATGCCCCCTTGATGTTGAGTGCCCCTGGGGCTGGATCGGGGCTCAGTTACTCTGCTGCAGTTAGGGGAGGTCAGGGGTCAGTGGGATCGGCCCGGGCAAGGGCAGGTAACCTACCCACTTCCGCCGCAAGGCGAAATGTTGTTCAGCTGAAATGGTCAGGGGAGGGCCCCCCCCTTAGCAGGAGAGAGGTCATAGACCGCATATTAGAAATGGGCTTCCGTGCCGTGGATATTTTTGCGTTTATTGCTCCAGTTGGTACTGGAGAATATGATGTGTCCTTCATGCGGCCGGAATTGTTGGACCTCTTTTGGCAGAGGTATGAGGCCACCTTGTCACCAGCCCTAGGTGGGTGGGCCTAACCCCGAGGCTCGTCTCTCGCCAGTCCCTGATTAAAAAAATAACGGTGCTGGTGAGAAATGAATCCATCCCCCTGCATCAGATATTGTGGTCTGGCTAAGCAGATATGGGGATGTGATGGGGCCCCTTGGGAAGATCAAGGATGAGAGGGGAATATGGACAGGTGGGTGGACGACCACCGTCCGCTTAAAGGTGGTTGGAAATGTGCTCCAGCACATTCCCTCTTCCGCTTTTCTAGGGAAGGACCGCCTGATAATTTTTTATGCGGGTCAGCCGAGGGTCTGCCACCGGTGTGGGGGCAAGGGGCATTTTGCGGCCACCTGCCCCGTCATTAGATGTTTCCTGTGTCAGGAAATAGGACACCTGGCCAGGGACTGCAATGTTGTCCGATGCAATCTCTGCGGGGAGCTTGGGCATTCATACAACCAGTGCCCGGAGGCCCTCCACAACCTTCCGGTGGGGGAGCTTGAAGCAGAGTTGGATCGGGTAGATGCTGAAGAGGCGGAGGCGGCATTGGAGAGAGCGGCTTCGGTTGCTGTGGCGGCCCTTGTGAGGAAAGGGGAGGTTTTTGTGGCCCCTCCTGTCTCTGTCCCCCCTGTTTCGTCTACCCCTTTGGAGTCCCCTGTTGTTCCCCCTTGTGTGCCGGTTCCTCCTCCCAGGACTAAGAAACAGCTGAGGGAGGCTGCTAAAGGGGCCGGGATGGTTGAGGCTAGGTCTAGTCCCTCAGTGTCTGCTCCCCCCTTGCTCTTGCCGCTGCGGCGGAGTAGGAGGCCCGGTAGGGAGTCCCGTGAGTCCCAAGGTTCTGCTCCGGTAGGGGCTCGGGTGGAGGAGGGGTGGTCCCTGGTGGGTAGGCGGAGTAAGCCAGTTTTGTCCTCAGCAGGGTCGGTGTCCTCTTTAGAGGCGGGGGAGGTGGCCCTGGGGAATAGGTTTGGGGCTTTGTCGGGGGAGGAGGAGGGGTCAAGTGATCCCGCTTCCCCGATGGAGGACGAGGATGCTGGGGGGTCTCTTAAGAGAGTGAGGGACCCTGCCAAGAAAGTCAAGAGGAGGAT